TAGAGAATTCAAAGGAACTATTTTCAGAGCAACCATCCACAGCAAGTTCTTCCATAACCACTAGAGAATAATTACACTTCACCATATGATAATGCCTTAAAACCTTAATGATGGGCAGACCTTGGGCATAGATTCTTCACAGTAAAGGTTCCAGCTGTACTTGCATACAGGTATCAGTGTCAAAAGTGTCAAGTGTTAAAATTACCTATAAATCACAAAAGAAGTTAAAAATTATTTGAACATTAGGCTGGCAAAAGAATAGAAAACAGATTTACAGGGAGAAAGAAAGGACTTAGAAGAGCTTTCTCTCACTCTTTAGTACACTACGCAGTGTCACGGTCTTCCTTTTCCCCATTTCAATTGCAACTGTGTTCCAATCAAGAGACATCCTTTCCTTCCTAGAAGACTGAACAAGTAAACGAACAAGTAAATTCAAAACACTTTAATTCACTTTCTTCCTTAACTAGTTAGCAAAATGTTATCCAAGTTTATTGCCTTATTTCCCACTGAGAGCTACATAGGACCCTCAGATAAATATATTCTTACACAGTGAAGTTCTTCCAGATAAAATACTCTACAGAAAGCAGGTAAATATAACATGATATGCTGGGTATCATACTGGAAATGGTACAAAGCCATCTGTTAGTGAACCAGCTGATAGTATTGATGACGTCATTCACAATAAAAAAGAAATGAGAAGATTGTCAACACAGTCATAAAAGGAAATTATAGTCCCCCAATATGAAACAGACTCTAATTGCACACATTCCCTGCCTGTGTGTCCCCTCCCCATTGGAGCTGTTTGCTTACCTTCTCTTGCAGATGGTTCAGATCATTTTGTCTCCTCCAAGGCCTTTTCTGTTCCTGCCCACCCCACATCACCCCTTTTCATTCCTGACTCTTATTTTAAGGATACTGAAGCTGTTGCACACTCTTTGCCAAACATAATGTGTTCTCAAAGCTTATACATGGTGCAAAAATAAGTCTGCATGAGCCAAACTTTGGGATAGAAATACTACCTCACACTGAAGTCTTATACCTACTTGAAAAGAGGGGTAGTGTAAGGTCAGGACTTGAGGACCTAGGAACCCTTATTGCAACCTTCTTTCTCCTCATCAAGCCCAGTGCTGTCACAGTTTAGGATATTAATTCAGGGATGCACAGAACAGAAGCCCCAAATACATACACATGTGTAAACATGGATAGAGTTAGTCAATGCTTCATGTGTAACTCCACGTGAATGCCAGGAAAGGTTCATAAGTTCAATCAGAAGTGTAGAATAGGACTCTTCAGCTTCTTCCCCACAGACATATTATCTGATGAAAGGTTTATGGCAAATTAAATATCATTTTGGCATAATGTATTAAACACCAATGATATGTCTTTGGGTTTCCTACAATATATGCTTTTCTTTTTACAATTAGTTGGAAGATTCACAACTGACAGCTTCACAGGAAAAAAAGGACTGACAGCTTCACAGGAAAAAAAGGCTGGGGTTTTTAATATTTATGAGAAAACTTAGAGCAACTTGCAAATTACAACAGAAATATTTATCCCCCAAAGGCACATCGGTCAAAAAGAAGGCAAACCACCACCTTGCTCTGATTTAAGCCCTTTGGTATATCACCTTCCCAACTGTTTCATTCAGTAGGAGAGTTCACCATAGTAGCTTGCTTTCTGAATGTAATCCTTCATTATAAATACTGTCTGAACCCTTCCAAGAGGAATCTGTTTTACTACCATTTTCTGTCAGACTGGAACTGCACAGGTTTGTAAAATGTACAGTTACTACATAATAACTTCAAGTTCTACTAAGCAAAGATAAAACAATCACTGGGTCGAAGAGTGTGATAGTTTTATACACAAATTTAAGTTCAAAAAGGATGTAAATCCAAAGTCAAAATTGCTATTGAAATTTTTTTTTAGTGGAAAAATAAAACCCCACCCAAATAATCAATCCAAAATTCAATAGTAATATTAAGCAGATACATAAAACTAGATTAAAGGTCAAATTTTCAACCAGGTTTGGTCACCAATTCATATTGATATCACTATAGTTTACCAAATTTACACTGGAAACTGGTGAAAAAATAGTCTACATAGAACTATAATATGGTAGGCCACTTAAACATCATGTTCATTTTTATAGTCCTCTGCTTCTTGATCAGGAAATACTGTATCCATTATCAAATATTTCAGTAAATACTAGACTTCAGATGTCCTAGCAATACATGCAAATGCACACCATATTCTCATGTGAGGCTGTTCTTACCATTACCACCGATTTCTTCCTGTGTTAAGCAAGAGATTGTAACAGCAAAAAATACCTTTTTTCTAAAACATATTGTGTACCCACCGCAAAATTAATATTTAAACTCTTAGTCATGACTCATATATCAGAAAAGATTTTCACAACAGTTAGTAGCATCTTATTTACAGTGGACCAAACTCAGGAAGGGTCTTCCATTCATAGCAAGTCTGAGCAAAGTTAGCTCTTTTAAAAGGATTGACAGTAAGGCATTTTTGTGCCATGATTCTTACAGCATCTGTGTCAGGGGTGCTAAGGAATTCTGAATTCTCTTGAATTTTCTAAGCAAGAGAGGATGTTCTCAAGGGAAGGGAGAATGAAGTACATTCATTCTTCATTAATGGGAGTTCTCTGTGACTAAGGAACTGATTAGACAACCAAGAGAAATGAGACAGCATCTTTGCACCTATCAGACAGAAGTCATCAACTCAATGTCACCTACCTGCCTTCCACTACCTAAAAGTAGAGCTACTTACTGCAACTGCAATGTAGTCTTCCTTCCAAGTTACTTCCACCACATTCTGCATTGTGCAATGTGATTTGGATACATCACAGAAAAGCAGGTGAGTAGAGCGTCAGCCTACACTAGATAAGATAGCTGGGGGAAATGGCGTTTTCCAAACCTCTGTTTTTTAAATGAAAAAAAGGAGTGAGAAAGACAAGTTAGGTATCTCTCTTCAGGATAATTTAAAATACTTTCTTATCACTAATATCAATTATAAACATTTATTCTAATTTATGAACACCTGCTTGACATCAACAGAACTAACACACCCCTCCAATTACTTTTCTTATAGGATGGCATATTTATTTCACTCTGATGAGATGAGGCTTTTCTAATTTCCTGTATAACCACCCCCAGCTCTCTGTCTATCTCCCATTAAATTGTGAACAGGCTTCACATATATTTTTAGATGTTTGAAAACTGCAGGAAGAGCTTTTTGATGTTTCAGAACATGTTCAGTCCCAGTGTCTCAATATTGTTTGCTTGCTAACTCCTCAAGCTTATGTCATCCATATGAATGGACTTCAGGCTTTGAGAAGGGTTACCATATCATTACCATCTGCCTAAACTGCTGCAGTCAGAGGTCTTTCCTTCTAATGTCAATGCCACTTTGAAAACAAAGTTGCAGGATTCCTCTGTGTCTTGGAACATATTTAGAAGTCAATGTCTTATTTTCTATGATTAGTCTGTAACAATGTCAAGTGTGAAATTTAAATTAATGACCGTTTCACTTATTGAAATGACTTCAGCACTTTTGCTACTTTCATTGATTTCTATTTACTTTGGCAACCACAAATATGAAGAACATATTTCTAGATGTGACTAAACAGACTAATAATATGCTAGTATAGATGTACCTACTGATCGAACATTACACTTAACTCTAAACTTATTTTGAAAAATTAACATAATAGGGGAAATATATTATTTATAAAACACTGTTCATTTCCTGCATTTCAGACAGTGTCACCTTTAAGTTATTTTCTCCCAGCTCTCTCCACACTAATGATTGGCCTACACTATTGAAACATAGCAGTAAATATGGTATCAACATTACCCATCCATAGAATCAATTTAAATTTTAACTAATATATTCATCATCCAGTAAATACTATCTCAGCAGCAGATAAGGCTGTAGCTAACCTTCAGGATATTTTAGCCTCCTGGTAGAGGCCAATTTGAAAGAAGCAGCTGTATTTAATTCATAAGAGGTAGAGAAAAATCTTTCGTTCCCCTCTGTCCTTCCCCACACATCAAATAGTAATTTATTTTATTTGTTAAAAAATCTTAAAATATTTGTATTTCTTGCTAACATCTAAAAGAATTCTGATCAGTGGAAAAAGCTAAAGGGATAGTTGCTAAGAAGAGAAAGAAAAGGCCATAATTCTCTGCCTATATGTTGGTTTGGGGTTTTTTTTGAAGAAAGAAAAAAATAGAGAATAAAAGATAAGTGGAAAAGGGAAAACAAGCCTTCCCAAAGGCTATTCAGTATGTTTGTAATGCAGCAGGTGGCTCAGAGACAGCACTGTGATGGCTGGAACTCTGCATATGCTCCACAGCATGGGTTACCCCTGGCCTTCTTGAAGAAGTGTTTTTATACAGCACAGCCAAATCCACAGCTATTAATGCTGCATTCTCAAGAGAAGTAAAACTAAAAAAAAGTAACTAAAAATGGAATCTGACCTTCAAACAACAGAATAGTCACTGATGCAAATCCCCATTCTGTAAAGGGGTGTTATATGCAAATATAGATTAAAAAAAATACTGTAAAAGAGTATGGAAAGGTTGAACTTTTTAACTTCCTTTTTGTTTCACAGTCAGATTCTGCAAGGCCTTAAATTTCCCTAAGCAACTGTACCTAAATAGATCCTTGCAAAATCAGTTATTCAGTCTCTCAAAATACTTGTCTACTAATTAGGAAACTTGGATAATGACCACTGTGCCTGTGACTCTAAACCTGAAGCCTTTGTTCCTGTAGAATTCCAAATGTGCAAATCCTCTGGACATCACTGGAAGATGAAGAGTGCAGCATCATGTGTAGTCTAGAAACTTCAACATAGCAGTCTGTTGATGTCGGAGATTTATGAATTCTTTCATAGATGGAAGATTGTGCTAGCACAGTGCTACTTGCTGCATTATAAGTTTGAAGATTAAATGACCTCTCTCTCTTTTGTTTCCATTTTGCAGGAAAACCTGCTGCCCATGGAGAATTGCCTCTGGGGATACCTGACCACTAAATATGACAGCTGCGGAAATAGAAAGGTCTCAACCTTCACAATTCCTGTATCTCAGCTTCTCTTTTTTGCTTCATTAATTTCTCTCAATTTAGCAGACCAAAACCTTCATTTTTGTAAAGGACCAAATCTGAAATATTTCCTATTTAAATTCCTAAATGACCCTCATTCCCCCAGACCCTACCTGTGATCCAAATCCCTCTGTTACTCTCAAGTAGATTGCTGCAGCATGACACCAGTGTACGAGGGTCTTTAAACACAGCATGTCACTTTTCAAAATGGCATTTTTAAGATCAAGAAGGCTATCTATTACTTCAGAAAATATTGTCTCTATAGCTGTGATTACACAGGAAGAATGATGTGTTCTTATCAGAATAGATGACAGTAGTTTTCCATGTAGAAAAGACTTCTAAGAGCGGATGACAGAGACAAAATTAGCATTTTTCTAGCAAGCATCCCACACATGCACATCTGCAAAGTGTTCCCGCTTCCTTCTCTGCAACCACTACTATACATGACTGTTTCTCCTGAAATTAGAAAAGCATGTGAATCAATTTTGGTTTCATGGTTGCACCTTAGTCTGACTAAGCAATTACAGATGAACAGCAGAAGGCTTACAGATCCTTTTATTTATTCAAAGCTCTCCAGAGTTCCAAGTAAAATGTGAAACCTTTCTTGATGTTTGCATCCAGATTGGAATTTATTTCTTAGTCTTCACTCATTTATAAAGACATTCCAAGGCTCTACAGAAATTTTGAATTAATATGCCTATACATTGGCCTTTCTAATGTAGAGAAGGACATGTCTGAGCCTATTAACAGGGCCAAAAGGCTTTTACTCTGAAGCCACTCACTAAAACTGAGATTTGAGAAGGTTATATAAAAAGATGTGAAGGATGACACAAGCTCTTTAATGAGCTTGTAAAGAATTCTTGAATCCCTGTTTGTGCACAATGTGACCAAACAAAGATCTGGTTTCAAGTTGGATTTTTAAACTGATTTAACTTATAAAAGTAACACTATTTTTCTGTCATTGATCTCCTAAGTCAATATTAGAAAAACAGTTAAAAGAACTCATTCACTTGATCAAAAAAAGTAAGTAGAATCAACTATGTGGTTCAATGGAGAAATGCTTTCTCTCAGTGTGATATATACACTCGTGAACTGAGAGAAATCAGAAATAGATAGCAAGACTAGAGGCAGTTGCTCCTAAAAGCAGAATGCTCAACAGTGGCATCTACTGTGCAGCTCTGGGGCAAGCACTAATTTGCAAGCAATGAGGAAGGAATTTCTTTGGTTATTTCACATGTGGGGATGTGGAGAACAGAACTGCTTGCACAGAAAACGGGCAAACTGTCTGTATTGCCATTTTCTAGGCATACGAGGCCAAAATCAGTGCTCAGTTACAGAAGTCTGAAATAACTAAAATCATAAAATATATACAGTTTTCTGGGTCTTGCACTGCACTACAAAAGTCTGTCAAAAGCTGCCAGAAGCACTGTACACTTCAATGAGAAGAGTGAGACAGAACTTCCAAAATTTGCTTTGCCTGTAATGTTTGATAAAGAAGCCAAGTATGTTGCCCAATACACCATGCTGTCACCTTTACCCCTGCTGTTCTCTCCTGTGGTCACCTTTGAGTTTTATAACAAGATTACAGTGAGATTATTGCATAAGGAGGGCAAGGGCTCTTCTGATGAAGTATGAAGAAACTCATCTAGCTACACACTGAAAACACAGAGAAGAAATAAAGCAAGAACTGATGCGAGGGCAAAATTCAACCTATACTGGTGTGCAGGTGCTCTCTACGTGTGGTGCTACAGCTGCACTGGGAGGAACCAGCAGTTCCTGGAAAATAGCTCTCTTCTGAGTTGTGTGAGTTGTTCTGGCACAATGAAAACACAGCTAAACCAGAAGCCAAGGCTCTTTGGGGTGTCAGGATATCTTGCTGCTGGTTTTAATGAGCTGTCCTGTGAATTCAATTCATCGGCATCCCAATGACCCAAGAACTTTGCTAGGTCCTTCCTGTGCTTCCTGACCCTGCCATAGTAATAACAGTAAATGCATAAGAATTTTGAGAGTACTAGGGCAGATGGCATTGACATACAGTCATCATTTTCCACCTCACACCATCAAAACATGACAACCAGCAATTCCTAGAAACAGATACTGCAACTGCTCAAACCCCACCAATATTTTTACCCCTCTCACTGTGCTATGTGTTTGAAAATATATACATTGATTGTTGCATTAAATAATTGTCTTGCCCCACACAATGCAGTGTTTTGCATATTTGCTGATGTTTCCCCAAAAGCACTGGGGGAATGAATCATTACTGAAACAATTTACTTTCAGTTAGTGCATGAATGCCTTCCCATGATGCTTTGATGCTTTGTTTGTCCTCCTATAAAAATTATTTATGACCCATGTGTGATCTTTTAAATCAGAATACTTATTCAGAAATCAAAGCTCCAGCATGTTAATGCAAGTAGAAGCCCTAAGTAATTTTTCAAAGCCACGTTGAATATTCAAAAGCTAGGACTGAAGGAAAGGAGTTAACATTAATTAATATTTGAAGCAGTAAAATAAAAGCAACAGTGAAGCTAATTTTGCAGGACAATTAATCATGAGTCTTGCTAATTACACATGGGATTTTGCAAATGATTTTTTTTCTCAGGTAGCAGAGTAAAAATGATAATCCACTACCCATCAAAATCATTGGCTCCTCACCAATGTCCCCAGCAAGAGCAATTAGTGGGAACAGCAGAGCTCTAGTAATTGCATGTCAAGAGAGGAGAATGTAAGAATTTTAATTGCTCCAAATAAAGACCACTTGCTTATACATACACCTGACTGTCCAAAACTAGTCTGCAAGCTGGAGCAAGTATATAACCACTTCCAGGTGTCTGCACAAAAATAACTCTGTGGGAGAAGTACTCTAAGCAACACATGCAGTTTCTGGAAGAAAAATATCAATATGCACTTATATTCTGAACTGCAGTGTCATCACTTGACTATTAGAACTGGGAAAAAAATATATCACCCACTTGGGAAAATGTGCATATTCTTTATATTTGCCAAATATTTATTGCTGACATTTTTTGAAGAACTTTAACTATCTTCAGGGTGCCAAGGGCTTCAAATTTACTGAATTTTAGGATCACCAATAAAATGTTTTTAACAAGACATCTCAAGAGGACATAAAATAAAAAATTACCATATTCATGAGAGCAAGCCTGTAAGATTGCAATGCTATAAACTGGATGTTTATAATTTGCTTGTGGCTTTCTTAATTAAAAAAAAAAAGAAACCCAAACAACTAGTAATTAGAGACTCCAATTCCATTTTTGCACTTTATCCCAATCACTGACATGCTACTATTACTTTTTTGTATAATATACCTACACACGGATGCACACAATTGCAAATAATCAATAATATTTAAGTATGTGTCCAAGTTCTAAATGATGATGGATATATTTAAATATTGCTTTCCAGGAAATTATTACTTTACTGGTCATGTAGTAACTTTAAAAACTTAGAGGTTGAAAGAAATGCCTGCTTTTTCTCTATTTCTCTTTAAGGTGTTTAGCATTTACACTCATTTTCAAATGAAATGACTGAATTACCTTCCAAGTGCCACTACTCCTATTGTCTTTTGCTCCCTCCTTCCGCTTCTATGTACACCATATTGAGGTACTAAACCACTTTCTGCTGTTAGCTTTGTTAAGCATTAAACTGAGAGCAGTAGCCTTAACTTGTCTAAATATATTCTTTGCATGTTCAAAATCACTGTACACTGTTTATTACACCATGACTGCTCGAGAGAAAAAAAGCAGGTCATGCAGAGTGCTGCTTCCTTTCCTGAATTACCAGCAGAGCACAGGTGTTTATCAGACTCCCGGAGGTGATTCAGGTAATAAACACCAGGATGGCAGTTTAAATGGTTAGAAGCTTTTCCATCAAATACAGTCCTTGCAGTCCTATCATTTTGCATATATTGCTCACAAATGGCAAATTATTTATGCAGCCTCCTTAAGTGGTTCCTTATGGTTTTACTTTATTTTTCCAAAGCAGGAACCTTTTGAAGATGTGTGTTCTCATGACAAGGCAAACTATCATTCCATCTGTGATTCTGACTCATTTCTTAAAGTTCACTGTAGATGTATAATGCCAGTGACCTTGTTTTGCCCTTCTGTTTAGCTCAAATATCTTTTCTAAGAAAGCACCAGTGTCATTGTGGAAGTTACTATTCTGTGCTTGTACAAGGAGATCAAGAAAAAACTGTATGCAGTAGAAACTGGCTTTTGAATAAGAAAAGCTTTTTCAAATATTACCTTGTGAAAATAAAATTAAAATAGACATTGATTAAGATTGCTACATCTAACACAGATTTCAGAAGGGCTTGCTGTAAAATAAAATAGGATGAGTTTTGGGAAAAAAAATGTTTAAATAGAGAGGTTTTTTGTCTAAGCTGACAGAGATGAACTTATGTGAATTTATGCTATTACAGAAAGTTACTGACTGAGACATACGTGTAGCAATTGCCCATTACCTGTTAATAACTGGAATTTGTTTCATGGTGCTGAATCACCAAGTCCATATTTAATGCCAGAGCTGTGACACAAACCAGTGTGCTGGTATGCAGATCACCTGCTTCTTCCCTTCTTGACAAACAGCTCTGCAATAATTACATAGAAATTCCCTATATGCAAAGTAGGTATCAGGAAAGGATTTACGGTTGTTCAAAAAAATTTAGCACCATGAAAGAAAGAGAAAAGCCAGCACAATATAAAATTTCTAAGAATCATCAGATCATAATTACTGCACCACTGGTGTAATAACTGAATCACTTACAATTTTATCAGTTATACCCTCACCTTGTGAAATAATATGGATTTCCATAAAAGTGGTATGGAATAGAAGGTGTTAGGAAACACTCAGAACATCTAAGATTAGTTTCTGCTAATTTTCTACAGTTTGACAGATAACCTCAAGCCATAAACCGAAGATTATGGCTGCATCATACGTATCAGGTAAGTAATAAAGTATCACCATTTTGATCATGGTGGGTAAGAGTAAACAAGTATTACCCTTTCTACTTTTTTACAGGATGAAAATTAGCCACAAAGGAAATAAGCAACTTTCCCAAGAACGTACAGTAAATCTATAGAAGTCCCAAAACCAGAATTGAAATCTACGAAGCACTGAAATCCTATTAACCCCACAACATACCCTTTCTTTTGGATTGAATATCACAAATAAATGTACAATTTTACAAACAGTAATTTTACAGCTTAATGAAAACTTATTCTGAATATAATATTAGATATGATGAGGAATGTCAAGTATTGTGCTATCCAGTACGAAGTAGAGACCGAACTCCACTCCTATCCCATTGTCTGATAAAGGCCTAGGATATAAGTTCTCTAGCATTGTCCATATTCTCATGACATTTTAGACTGTCACTGAAATAAACCTGTCTTACCTCACAGGCTGTGAAAAACTTTATTGACCTTAATCAATATATATGAACAAAATGCAGGATGGCAGAAAATGCCACTAGATTGAAATCAGACAATAAAGATTTTCTATGACTTCAGTTTTGGAATTCCAGACACTTCAGAGAACAATAATTTTCAGAAAAAGTGAAAGTAGTTCTACACGCCAGTTCTGTTTTACAGGCAGGGGAACAATTTCAAAATGAACTCCATATCACAGGAATGTCTTATGAATATTAAACAGACTGGCTTGCCCAGGGAACTTGTCTTTTTATAACTGTTTTGGAAGAAAAATAAGAAGAATTCTTTTCACTTCAGTAAGTCATGACCTAATCAAAACCAACGAAGAAATAAGCTAAAAGGTGAAATACATGTTTAGATCAAAAAAGGTAACTCACTTTCTTTTGTCATTGAAATGAAAAAATAAAGAAATAAAAACTCCAAAGTCAAAAATTCAATCCTCATGTAATCTCAAGATTTCAAGACACTGATATCACAAAGTCTTACTACAAATTTCGCTCTATTGCATCGGTCTTTCACCTTTGATAAAAACCTAATATTCCAAAACACCTTGAGCAAAGCAACTTGAAAAATGGTACTGCACGTGGTATGCAAATCGCAGGTGGATTAAGTAATACACATACAGAGCAGCTGGGTTTTATCTGGCAAACAGGTGCTAGATTTTGGATTTGCTGAATAGCCACAATTGTAATGACTTTTTGATGAGAGGTGAAATGGGGACCTGGGGAGTCTTCCATTCATGCTTGTCCAGCTATTTTGGTTTTGTTTTGTTTTTACTAGGAAGTTTCAAAAGAACATAATATATGAGTATATCACAATATTCTTCCTCAGAATATCTTACTCTAAGTCAAAAACTGGCAGTTAGTAAGGCAGAAAATAATGTGTTTAGACACTGGATTAAAACAAATCCAGTGATGTGGCAGAAGACATTTTAAACAATGCAGCCTAAAGCATCAACACATATAAAGTGCAGCACATCAGAGAAGGTACTTTAAATTTCTAGCTAAGAGTCTGGTCCAACATGTTCAAATACACAAGAAGAAAACTAAGCATCAAAGGCATGAAGTTCTCTCAGATTTGGAACAATAACAATGAGGTGCATTTGCTGCATCTGCCCACAGGTTAATCTGGTTCTTTTAGTAACTGTACCTTGTAAATTCCCCGGCATATGATATAGCCATATTTTTTAACAATTCAGAGTGGCATGGTCTGAGTGCTTTTTACCTGCATAACAAAATGATTACACAGACCAATAGTGATTAATGCATGGAGCAGTGGCACTTCCTCCCTCCCTCCCTACAAGTAAGGTAACAGGTTATGCTGCTGTGCTATGAACTGTGGGGGTTTTAAATATTTTGACTCACAAAACATATATAGGAAATCTTTAATCACAATTATAGATACATTAATACAAACTAAAGATAAATATTTGGTTTGAATATCCAACATCGAGGCACAAAGTAAAATCAGACACTATCAGTAAACTCAGAGCTGAACTATGACCTTCCTTCTTCAGGGGATGCAGCAGGTAGAAATGAGTCCTATCAAAACCAACAGCCAGAAAGGACTATTAGAGTAGTAATCTAAACTGAATTAAACACCTGAACAGATATTACAGAGCAGGATCATTAGCTAAATGATTAAACAAAGCTCCTGGGCTTCCTACTTATCCTCCCAGTCATAAAGAATGGTAAAAATACCATTCTACTGAGTACAAAGCAAGAAGGCAACGTTGTCTTTTGGAACAGGAGAAAAGCTCTGACTGGATAAGAAACTTCCCTAAGGTTAATACAATTCTCTGGTTTCAGATACTTTATACTTCCTATCCAATATATCACTGCAGACTTGCACAAAACGCCAACACATAACCACAGTAATACTGCCTACTCATTAATTATGCCATCAGTCACTCATCCTAAACATGCTGTAGCTGAAATGAAACTGCAAGATGCATTTCCTTTTCCTCAAGGCTCTTTACCCTGGCCCTGTGTCTGTTTTAAGTTTCCATACACGTTTCTCCTCTCCTACAGTCTTTGACCTATTTAGCCTGTTATTTGGCATTCTTTCAAAAAACAGAAATCTAAAAAATGTACAGTTTGGAAGCCAAAGAGAGACGGAAATAACCCCAACTCCCAGAATCAAAAGGATGTTGATTTGAGATCCAGAAGTTCCTTCCCACCAGACAGATCAATGAACAATTATCTATAAAGCATAAGGCTAGACAGCAGGGTTCAACACTGCTCAGAATTATTTACTTCTCCTGTAATTTTAAAAACTATTCCCCTTGCCCTTCAGTGTGAAATATATGTATGGAGGGGTTCTGAAAGCTGAAAATTCATTAGATGAACTAGGAACAAGCTAATAAAGCAAGCTCCCTGTAACACTAATAAATTGGGGGGGGGGGGGCTTGAGGGAATACCATTCTCCTATAAAGAGAGTACCTGCATATGACTGTGTTCAATCTGCTATTCATCGCAGCAAATATTGGTCCAGAAAGAATCAGCCTGAAGTCCCTTTTCATTAGGGGATAAATAGTGCTTGTCTTCTGCGGGAATACAGGACAACTGTGTGAAGTTTGCAAACTCTCTATCTGAGGCCCACTCATGGAGTCAAGATGATGCCAATTTCAGCCTCAGCTTGTGTCTCCAAAAATTTTTTGGCCTGATTGTTCAGTGTCCCTGTGCTCTGTGAAGCACTACCTCCAGTCTCCAGTGCTGTTTCAAAGGCATTACAGCAGAGACAACAAAGACAGCCATATTAAGAGAGAGGATGCTGAAAGTTACTTCCATTGTGCCAGCAGGAGTTATCTTCGGAGTTGTCATCTGGGCCAGGGATGAAGCAAAGACCTTCTTTCTATTTATCCACCAATACACAGGTTCATGCTTTCAATAATCTGCTTCACAGCCATGATTGCTAAGGTCTGCTATACCCAGATGTCCCAGCAGAGATACAAGTGTAACTGGGATTGGTACCAGATGATAGTTAAATAGCAAGAGAGACCTAAAATAGTGAACCCAAAGACTGGGGGTAGGGAGGATCATAGCAGTCATTTGCTGCCGAGGAAGATGGTATATGACCCTCTTGAGCAATGAATTCAAGGATACAGAGCCCACTTGAGAGAAGCCTGCTTCCTTTGCCCACAGCACACATAAAAGTCAGTACAAGTCAAGAATCAGGGAGGGCATTCCTGGACATCACTGGCTAAGCAAAGAGAAGGAGGCAGATTCATCCCTAGACAGACCTATACCATGCAGTCACAGAGTATTCTGAGTTGGAAACAATCCACCAGGATCATCAAGTCCAACTCTTAAGTGAATGGCCCAGTCAGAGACCAAACCACAATCTTGGCATCATTAGCTTCATGCTTTAACCAACTGACCTAATCTCAGTTATGCAAAGAGGGAAAAGGGAAGAATTGATGTTTGCTCTTATGGAAACAACTTGACACGAGCATCCTCATGTTTGCTGTGTACGCATAAAGCAGCCTTCCTTGACTGGCTACAACACTGAACGACTGGTGTGAGCAATGAAGGAAGCACAGGCAAATGCCATCTGCCAGACATCTATCTTCTGCCAGGCCCTGCACCCTTCCTGCTAAGCTTGGTAAGCAAGGAAAGTTTTACATGGTGTTTCCTCAGTGAAATTATATCAAATGAAAGATAAGACTAGCACAGACCTGGAAATTTCCCACTATCCATTTAGAAGAGAATGAGGATGCAAAAGGCAGGCTTGTGGTTGCTCCAGAAAGGACTTGTAAGGGCTTGCAGCAAGCACCGGATATAGTTTCTCTAGAGACTGGACACCAGGTCAGATTGCTACATCAGCAAGTGTCCATGCTCCCTAAGAACATTTGTCCATGCTGGGAGCATAAGCAGCAGGATAACAAGCACCTCTAGGCACTACTGTGTAGTTGAGTTTTTGATCCTAGTCACCAGCTACAAAGGAAGGTTCCCAGCATGGATGATATTTTTCCTCCACCTCTTCCTGCCACTGGAAGGCAAACCATACTTGGAGGTTCTGTGCAATCTGGCCAGGTGGGAGGCTGGAGGGTGTGCACACACCCCAACTGAAGGAATTGGCCTGGCATTAGTGGGATAAGGGCAAGACAGGATCAAGTTAGCAGGTAGGCTGGCAACTACAGCCTGCAGGAAGCTAAAATACGTGTTTTTAAAAACTGTATTTTGGACACAGCTTCTCCAGCTCATGAGCTGTATGCAAGATCTGAACTTTCAAGAGCTGAGAGCCTCAGGCCCCTTTATTTTTGTTTCAATTATATTTAAAGACACTGCTGGTTCTACAGGTCCCAAATCTTCGTTCGCGAAGCCTAGCCATGATGGGTTCTACAGGGCACTATGAACTCCGTTGTCTGTGCCCAGCTAGAGCATGGCCTCTTTTTGCACTTGTTGTCTTCATCAGGGTGAGGTAGTTAAGGCTCTTGTGTTGAGACTCAGAGGAATTCCGGATGGTCTCAGCAAGAGATCTCTCTTCTAGTTTCCTGTAAAAAACTTCTGACTCATCTTTATGACTTATCATAAATAGCTTGTTTGGAAATAGTCAGTGGAATTTGACTTAACTAGTTCTAACTAATCACAAAGAAAGGCTGGGCCCCATGCATGAAGTCTCTCTGGTATTTTAATTCTGTTCATCAGGCAGACCCACAGTTGTCTAAACTGTGTTCTAACTTTCAGGGTGTTCCCTTTGCCAACAGTCTCTGTGAGGACAGCAAGAGATTTTCTAATGCTTTGAAACACTTGAAAATATTTTTTTAAAGAATTGTATCAGTACTGAATGCCTTTCTTCTAGATGTTGTTGTAAGACAGCTTTGCAGTCTCCTCTTGCTCTTTTCCCACTGCTGTGTGGCAATCTGGGAGG